CGTAAAATAGTTTTTTGCAACAAAGACGATTCTTTGCGTTTTAAAGAAATTCTTGGAAAGGCTTACCCAAAACTTAAAGCTGGTGATTCGAACAGCTAAGAAGTGGAGGAAGTCCTGGCGAAATAATCCTTATCAAGCCATCACCCCGTTTTGGCTAAAGTGTCCCTTACTTAAAAGATATGGCAGAATTGGGACAAGCAATTGTATATATAAAACCACTTCTACAAGACCTAGATCTGAGTCAGATGAGTCTTCAGAGTTAATACGTGGCCTTTTTTAATTTCTAAATTCGATCTTTTTCTATTAATTATAATGTCTTGAATATGCACCTATCAATGTAAGTCCTGGGGTAAACTTGTAGGATGGGTTGTTATTCCGGTGTCATATATCTCAAACATGTAGGGTTCAAAAAAACTATAGCATATGTAGACCAAAAAATCAAGTTTGACAGCAATCTTGTTATCAATAAAGCACAAATCAAACTTCAAAAAGCTAGAAATTGCAAATTGAAAGGCGCCGTTTTTGAGCCCGCAATAAATGACCGCTTTGTATTGTGACGTCACAACGTGAAGGCATTATTCAACACAGACTTCAACATGTGTTACTAGAGAGCTTACAGGCAAAGTTTATCAAATGTAATCGAAATTCTCTGTTCCAAATGCCACACTGCTGTGTGCCACAGTGCACCATTCAAAAAAGACATATATCAATTATAAAATCCCTACTGACAAGCAAGGATAGCCCGCATAAAGAGAGAAAATCTACCAGCACTAAAGAATTGCTACGTTTGCAATGTTCACTTCGAAGAGTCATGCTTCGAAGTAGATTTGATACTAAAACTAACAGGAAAGAAAAAAAAGAGAACTTTGAAGAAAGGTTCAGTCCCTACTTTGTTTTCGTTCTCATCTAGCCCAGCGAAAAGAAGAGCAACCTCTGAAAACCACATCAAACAACATCAAGACAAAGAGGTAAGATTCTGTTGCCACCATGACCACGCTTGTCAAAGCGTGGGATCTTCCTAAATCTTTGTAACATTTAACTTATTCTATGACGAAAAAACGATTACAGCATCAATATTCGAACGCCAAATTATTCAAATTTGATATGACAATAGAATCAAAATATTATAACATAAAACAGACAGGAGTGTACTTCCAAAAAGCTTTATCTAAAGGTTTCTCGATTTAGAGCTGTAATACTCATAGTTTATCAAAAAATCTATGCCTTCTTACTGATATCCTATTTACTGTCAAGGAAATGCCTAGTATAATTGCAATATCAGAAACTAAATTATCGAGTGAGTATTTATTGTATTTCTATTCCTGGGTATAAATTTATCAGTAAGAATTCAGAAACAAAMGCCGAAGGTGTTGGACTGTATATAAAAGATAAAATCAAATTCATTAGAAGGATGGACTTAGACATAATTACCGATGGCCTTGAATCGTGTTTTGTGGAGGTTGCCAGAGCTAAACACCAATTATAAAATTATATATATTTACAGACACCCACAGAATGACCGTGAATATTTTCAAGAGGTTTTAAGAAAGAAATTAGAATTCATAAATACCAAAGGCTATAAAGCCTACATTTGTGGTGATATAAACTTCAGACTATCTCGATGATCTCAGATCATCTACCTTGCTTTTGCACTCTTCTTCAGTGCTCTGTTTTAATAATTAAAACTACAYGAAAAGGAAAGAAGTTGAAAAACAGGTGTGACGTCGCTGTGAATCGAACTTGGACCTGCTGCAACAACTGTGCCATCCTTGCTCCTGTATAGCTCTTCTATAGCTAAAGCTAAGGCATTTTTTTGTGACTCCCCTTCCAAATTGTTTTGAAGACCGGGTGGCCGTGGCGGGCTGAAAAAATGAGAAGGCRCTGGGTACGATAGCCTGCGTGGCCGGCGGTCTGCGTTTTTATTGGGGAGACAGTTCATAATCAGGGACGAACAACAATGGGATTTCCTGGAGGAGTTTTCGAGCTTCCTCCAGGGTTATCTCCGAATTTTGGACGCGGTAAGAATCGGTTAATGCCATAGTGATGAATGTTGGTAAGTGTTCAAACATTATTGTGCTGGATTTCAAAGTATACTGATGTTTACGTATGGACTATCAGGACAATTCRTTGCTTTATGCCAGCAAATCAGTACTAAACCATTGTGTTTATTTCTAGTAAATACATATTTTCTATCTTTCTTAGGGATATTAGGCTTTGCCTCACAGTCATCTTCGTGAGGAATCAATTTCCGGAGGAGGAACAGACCATGTAAGTAATTTTATTACAGTTATTTTACAGGCTTAACAGGGTAGGCCTTCACCATGCGTTCTTTTTTTCTTATAATACTAGCTTCCACTATCATGCCGCCCCGCAGGAGAAGAAGATGATGATGATAATAATAATAATAATGAGTGATTATCTTTCTGGTAGTAATCGTACGACTCTCCACATGACGTCGGTAGGATTTCTACAGCATTAACCAATAGAGTGCCAGCATTTTCTCATACGTCATTTATTTACAGAGAGCGACGTAAGTGACTGAAATTATAACTTATACTTATTASCGGATCGCGTTTTTGTTACGAGTTAATAATGCCAAAGCAAAGATACAATTATAAGGGCCGAAGTCCAAATGTTTTGACCTTCGAGCAAAGTAGGGGACAAGATGAAGACTTGTCTGGTTGTCTCTGCAGTGATCTGGTCGCCGGGCAATCCCTGGAAATCCCAGGCTGATACATCTTGAAGAATTTGCCACAAGCCAGGGAGATGAAGCGCTTCTCTTTGGAGAAAGAAAAGGTCCCTTCCTAGCTGTTACCATCATGACATTCCTACGTAAGTTTGTTATCATAGATGTTTATGGAAGGTTAAAGAAGACTATTTCTGGACTACTATGCTTTGATGCTCGAACGCCTACTGTA